CTTTATCTCATTACCAAACCTCTTCTATTTTCTAAGTCAACTTCTCTTTTAAACTTTGTTCCAGGTAGTCTGCTGTTCAGCCTGCATCCTGCATGGCCAAACTCATCACCATGGGATTCATATTCTTTCTCTCTCTCTCTCTCTCTCTCTCTCTCTCTCTCTCTCTCTCTCTCTCTCTCTCTCATCTCCTTTTCTCTCTCCACCTCTCAATAGTTTCCTTAGTTGCACAACAGCATAAACTAAGAGAGATTACTTTATGTGCAGGATTTGAAAGTGTTGCTAGATGATTCCATGGCCTGTGATTCTTTCTGATGTGATCATGTTGTTTCTTTGGTACTTGTTTTGTAACTCAATTACTTCAGAATTTTCAGATTCTGGGGAAAGCAGCCCCCCTTCCTTATTCTTTGCCCCTCAGGGCACCTTAAAACCTTCTGGTGAACACCTTATCCATATGCCTTGTTCATTGAATTCTGGGGTAGGTCATTTGTAGTTTGCCCTCTATTCTAGGGGGATTTTGCCAGCATTGTTAAGCATTCTTAAAGCCTGATTAATTGTTCTGTTTGACTACCTTGATGGATTATGCAGGTGCATGTGCGTGACCAGATTTAGACTTTCATAATGAAGGGACATTTTGGAGGTCAGGTAAGTTGCCCACCCCGAAGCAAACCTCAACAACTTAGAAATGCTATTTAGACAGATGTGAATGAGGGTGGTTGCCTCAGAGCAGTGGTTCTCACTCTGTGGGTAACAACCCCTTTGGGAGTCGAACAACCCTCACAGGGGTCAGCCTCAGGCGTTGTTCTCCAGGTGCACTCCACCTTCATTATTGAGACAGTCTTTCATCTGGCTTGACACTTGAAACTGGGGTAGGCTGACTGACACCCACAACTGGGCTAGGCTGACTGACACCCACAGCTGGGCTAGGCTGATTGATTGACACTCACAACTGGACTAGGCTGACTGACACAACTGGACTAGGCTGACTTACCAGTGAGCTCCGGGGATATATCCGCCTCTCCCTCCCTAGTGCTGGGATCACGAGCAAACACTACTACACTCCACATGTTTATGTGAGTTCTGAGGATTAGATTTAGGTCTTCATGGTCATATAACAAGCACTTCACTAGTTAAGCTATGTCCTCAGCCCCGGTACATTCTATTTTAGTCAGTAGAGTGAAACTTGGAGCATGACCTGGGACAAATACCTCAGCAACAAGGGCCTGAGACCTAGAGTCTTCCCTAGCAGTTTGAATGAAATTTGCTGACTCAGATCAATCCTAAATCCTTGTCTCTCACCTGACTTGTCCATTATGTGTTTGACCTTACTTGCTTCTGTTTCCCTTGGCTCAGGCTACTGTGACAAGTTACCATAGACAGGGTTGCTTGAACCACAAATTTGTATTTTCAGAGTTCTCAAGTACTAACAAGTTTGAGACCAGACTGCCCAGCATGACTGGGTTCTTGGTGTGGGCTTCTGACTGTAGGGTGTCTCTTTTATTGAAAAAACAACAAGAAACATTTCTGTGGGTTCTGCTTTCATGACCTAACTGCCTTACAGAAGCCCCACCTCCCAATACCATCATCTTAGAAGTAGGATGTTATTTGTGTGTATGTGTGTGTGTGTGTGTGTGTGTGTGTGTGTGTGTGTGTGTGTATGTGGACATAAGTGTGGGAATACCCATGGTACAGTGTATGAGTTCAGTGGAATCAGTTTTTCCTTCCACCACAATGTGGATTCCAGGAATCAGCGAAGTTTACCAAGCTTGCAGACATCTCATTGGCTCTTAGCATATGAACTTTTTGGTGGGAGGCACATTCTGTCCATAGCGTGGTCTTCTACTCTCTCACTCGCCCTGTGTCTCCCACTGCTATTGAGCTCTCTCCTTACCATGAGTATTTTTATAATCTACATTGTTTCTTTGTGTACTAGAGGCTACATATGAGTAAATACACTAGTAGGAATGGGTGACACATCCCTAGGCTTTTTAAAAATATTATTTTATGAATTAATGTAGGAAGATCTCTGTGTGTTCTGCATGTTCTTCATTTGACAACACTGGCTTCTTTTTTTTTTTTTGTAGTTCTCTTACTTGAACAAGTTCAGACTTCTGCTTTTCAGAAAAGCTTTCTCACTTTCTGTTTAGACTTTTTATTTTTTTAACTATTATTATTGTATTTTTGAGGCCAGGTCTCATATAGCTGTGTTGGCCTCAAAGTCACTATGACGTCAAGGATGACCTTGAACTCGCACAGTCTCCAGCTTCTACCTCCAAAGTATTAGGATTTGAGACATGAACCACCACACTTGGCTTCATAACATCAGAAACCACTTCTGATGGTCCCTCTTTTTTTTTTCTGTGATCCAGAAAACAATTTCTAGTTTAAAGTCTCCTTCTTTTGGAACTAAAATCACAAATGAGACAAAAAGAGATAAATGTAGCATGGCCCTAGAAAACCACAGTATCTGTTTCTGGGCTTACAGTTGGACCTCAAAAGTCCCTGAGAAGCTAACACTGCCTCAAAACCACATTGGCCAGAGTGTCATACCAGGCAGCCTTTGACTGAGGCTGCTGTCCTGCAAACCCAGGAGCAGAGGGGGAGACTATCTGTGTCATGGAGTATTCAGCCGGTCAGCCTCCGAAAGCTCCTGGCCTTTCAGAAGACAGAGTCAGCGTCACCCTGCAGGAGCTCCTAGGCTTCACCTTGCCTCCCTGCTGACCCCAGAGTGCACCCACGTCCTCTCAGTCTAAAGACTGCCTAATGGTTTTCACGATGGTCGTGATTTTCTTCCTGAACTGTCATGACTCCCAGCTTACAAACCCTACTTCCAGCCACAAATAGGTTCGATCGCAATACCCATGTCCCTAGTAACTACCCAAGGGATCTTTCTGAAGCAGAGGTTCCTCAAAGCCAAAGACAGGCAGCTCCCCTTGTCTGGGGCACTTCTTCCATCTTGCCCATCATTTCTCAGCTCACTGAACTCCACCCGTTCATGCCATGGCCTCTTTTGTCTTTATACACGATACTCTCTCTCTGAAGTCTCCTTCATGCTCCTCTATGCTACTCTGCACGGCAACCAAACTCTGCACACCAGGGCTACCGAGAGCAAGACTTTTAGATTTAGAGAGGCCAGTGATGGATGGGCTTTAATTCCATAAATGTTTACTCAATGTTTTGTCTTCTCTGTGTCCCTGGAGCATACTTTCCACAGTATTAGCTGGAGAGCCTTTACATAGTTACCTAGCACCTCCGGCTCCGTGTTTGTAAACTTATGAAGCAAGGATCATGTTAATGGAGCACTAAGCAAGGTCCTTCACACACACACACACACCACACACACACACACACACACACACACACACACACACACACACGTGCCCTCATGCGCAGACCCTTCAAGTAGGAGGTTTTGTCCAGCTACATTTATCATTCTTCAAGTTTAAATTTATGTTAGATATTCCAAAGCTTTCTCTCTTCCAATCACATGACCCCTGTGACACCTGACACCTGCCTCTGAGACATCCCTTCCACAAAACATTGGTCCTTTGGTTTCATTGGATGGTAACCCCACTATTCCTGGATGGAAACTCCATCTCCTCTGTTCCTCTGTCCCAAGTGCCCAGGGTTTATCCCTGAGATTTAATTACTCTTCGGAGAAGGTCCACCTTAAGATGGATGCACCATCCCAGACAGTGAGGCAGCCCTATGTCCCTGTTCCTCCCTCGACAGATCCAATTTTCATGCCTCTTATCCAGGTGAGTGAAAGGGCACATGAGACTTGGCTGCAGTTTGAGGTGGCTTCTGGGACACAGACTAGCCAAATACGTGAGACTGAGTGATCTGGAGAATCAAACCCCAACTAGTCCATTCACGTCAGGTCTTGCTATCACCTGGCTCTCATTTACCCTGAGAACAGCAAGCATGGCAAGGTTAGCACCTCACCATCCAACCGGTCATTCTCTTTTTCTTATTTTTAATTTTTAAAATGCACTTCAATGTTCCCCTTTAAAGGAATAAACAGACCCACCAAATTACCCCAGAAACTAAACTGACCATCTGTGTTTCTCAGATCAGGTCCTTGGATGTCAGAAGTCAGGGTGAGCTACTTGCTTAAGAGTTGCTCTCACAACTCCCAGCTTATGGTGGGGCCAACATGGGGGCTCAGTGTCTCCTTTCCACATTCTTCAGCTCAAGCCACATTTGCCCCTCCTCCCTGTAGACTCCCAGGTTTCATAAAGCCTGCCTTTCCACAAGCCAGTTCTTCTACTTGCCATTGAAAATGGATGCTGAGGCTACTTTCTCCCCATGGTGTCTTAACATCGTAGAAGGAAAATGGCAAGGGGAGGCACCAAACTCAGATGGTATAACTAACCCACTCCTGAGTTCTGGCAGGTGGTGTCAATAGCAGAGCCCTCTCAGCTGAACTCTTCTCCAAACAGTGACACTGGGGACTAAGTTTCTAATGTATGCTTCAGGACACACTCAGACCACAGCAACCGCCTCGATTCCCAGGGAAACCCTGGCACTGGATGCTACTTCCGAAGTGCTTGCTGCTTTAATGGGTGGTATAGCATACACGACAAGCACTCTGGAGGTGGCAGCTCAAGAACAGAGATCTTTTGACAAAAATGACTTGATGTGTACTCAGTTTGCATCCCTGGATGAAATGGGTGCCCTGGAAAGGCAGGCCAGGTACAGGATTTGGGAAGAAAAGCTTGTGGGAAGATCAATGATCATTTGTTCTTGGGGGAGCTGAGCCCTTAGACCGGGCTCCATATCTAGACTGTTAATCTTTGTCTTTTTTTTCTTTTCAGCAGGCTGTCCCACTCTCCCTCTTCCTTCCTTCCTCACAGCTCCCAAGAGCTGCCCATGGCCCTCAAAGACTCACTGCAGCTGAAAAACGTACTGGGCTGCTGCTCACCTCATCCCTCACCCAACCAACTTAGTGCTCAGGCTTTAATTTCCCTGTCAACCCAAACGAACATTTCACAAGACCTTACCGCAACTCTGGTAGAGGACTTCCAAACCCCCACTGCTGCAGGCCATGTGAGTGGGCCAAGCGTCCCCTCTGTCACTGCTGGGAGAAGTCAGAATCCAGACAAGGAGGGCAGCTGCAACACTGTTCATGGTGAGGGGCTGTGTGTGACCAATGCTAAACAAGCCCAATAAAAAGGCCTCTTCCTCCCCCTCATGAGATGGGTGGCATGCTCGGTTTCACTTCTCAAATAGTAGGCTCTGGGGAATTCAATGTGAGAGGCCAAAGGCAGAGAGCAGGGAGGGGCATTTGAATACTGTTCCAGAGGGTCTTCATTCACTTGAAACAGGGGTATGAGTGGTGTGTGTGTGTGTGTGTGTGTGTGTGTGTGTGTAGGTGTAAGCTAGGTTGAAAGTTGACTTCCTGCTTTTGCAGGAAGAGGTACAGCATGGCTCTCCAGAACAGCCTTTCTTAGGGTCTTCATCCCCCAGTGAAGCCTTAAACTCTGGAGAGATGAGCCTCAGGTCACTATGTGTTTTCCCTCAGCATGCACATCATTGAAGGCTCCTGAAGTGAGACTCAGAGCTGGGTAAAGCCAGAAGGCACATTTGGCATTTTGAGGGTTGTGTGCTAGCATTTAGGATCTGGAATGAGGCATTTGCCTCATTTATATTGGTTCTTCTCTGGCTTTGGCTCTGGTGTTGGGGTTTGGAGTCAGTAGTACATTGTCCCTGGGAGCCCTGTGGAGTGTCTGAGTGTGCTCTCTCTCTCTCTCTCTCTCTCTCTCTCTCTCTCTCTCTCCTCTCTCTCTGTATGTGTGTGTGCCTGTGGAGGTAAGAAGACAACTTCTGGGACTCAATTCTCTCCTTTCACTGTAGGTTCTGGGGATGGAACTCAGGTTACCAGGCTAATGAGTTAAGTACTTTTACTTACTGAGTCATTTCATTGGCCCGAGGCCTCATTTAAGGCTAGTTCTATTGTTGGTCTCCCTGAAGGCTAGTTCTACTGTTCCTCTCTGGTGGGATCATTGATGTCACTTCTCACAGCCAAGATTCTTTCTTCCATGGTCTCTGGTTGTTCTGCTTCAGAACAGTAAGTTTTCTTAATCACAGCCCCACCCGCACTCTACATAGTTCGCCAGATTCATGGCCAAGACCAGCAGGGCTCCAGAGCAATAGGAAACACTGTTTCCCATGGCAGGAAGAGATGAAATATATTCCATTGAGAATGTACAATATATTTTTAGAAGATTGCTCAATAAAATGTTATCTTCTTGCATGACAGATGGCATTTTTTTCCTTATAGAAAAAAGTAAACTTTCAAGGAGTCATGATTCTTTGTTTTGTTCACTGAGGACCAGGACTTGATTCTGACCACTGGTGATGACCCATCTGTTTCAGAAATCAACCTGTTATGGTTTGGGTATTAATTGTCTCCTAGAGTTCCACATGCTAAGTGCTTGGTCACCAGTGCCTGTGGCACTGTCGAGAGGTAGTGGAACCTTTAAGTTAGATCATCAAGGATTGGCCCTGAAAGTGGATCCTGGGACTCTGACCCTTCTTCTCCCTCTCTCTGTTTTGTTTCCGAGTTGCCAGTAGATGATCAGGTTTCTTCTGCATTCAGGCCCACCATAGCATGCTCCACTGCAATCCACAAACAATGGAACTTCAAACCTTTGAAGCCACGAAGCAAAACACACTTTTCTCCCCTTCATATGTGTTAGGCACGCTGTCAAAGTGACGAAAAGCTAACACAAGTGTGGTGATTTGAATAAGAACAGCCCCTATAGGCGCAAACATTTGACTGCTTAGTCACAGAATGAAAATGTTTGAAAAGATTAGAAGGATTAGGACATGTGGCCTTGTTGGAAGAAGTGTGTCACTGGGGGTGGGCTTTGAGGTTTTAAAAGCCCATGCCAGGCCTAGTCTCTGTCTCCCTCTCTTCCTCTCTTCTTCCCTCCCTCCCTCCTTCCCTCCCTCTCTCTCTCTCTCTCTCTCTCTCTCTCTCTCTCTCTCTCTCTCTCTCCTGTGTATCAGGATGTAGTTCTCAGCTACTTCTCTAGCATCACACCTGCTTGCCACTGTGCTCTCTGCTGTGATGATAATGGACTAAACCTCCGAAACTCTAAGCAAGCCCCCAATTAAATGCTTTCTTTTATGAGTTGCCTCAGTCACTGTGTTTCTTCACAGCAATAGAACAGTGACTAAGACAAAAAAGACAAGTTTTTAAACTAGAAACTTTATAAAGACAACAGAAATTCTTTTGAGAACGTCCTGTTCCTTACTATAGAATAAGATTCGAATCATCTTATAATAGCTATTTAAAATATGGTTACGTATATGTAAATGGTAACCGAACATTCTGCCAGGCTCTGGTATCATCTCCCCCTTTAGCAAGTGGCGGCTAAAAAGGCTGTGTGCCTGCTCCTGTCTGTATTCCTCCTCTGCTTTTTGACAGTCCTTCCCTCCGTCTCCCACTCTGCTCCTTTCATAGTGGTCACATTGGGAGTGATGCCCTCCTTTTCCTGCAGGGTGAAAATAAGACTGCCTAATGACAGAGAGGAAACAGCAAAGAGTGGAAGGAGAAAGGGAGGCAAGGTGAGCTGGGAAAGGGTGGCTGCTGAGTGGGCTGAAGCATCCTGTCTATGGGTGGGAAGAGCCAAAGATATCTAAGAACAGAGTCTAAGCCCTTAAGAGCTGTTGCAGGAGGATTATGACTTTGAGCCTAGCCTGAGCTACATAATAATATCCTTTCTCAAAACAATAATGCTCCCCAAACAAACAATAACAGAACATGTTCTAATTTGTTTGCTGTGCAGTGTGAGAGCCCCTCCAGATGAACTTACTTACCCAGAAATTCATACCCCCCTCTATGTGTGTTTAAAGGGAAGATGTTCACCTTTGCATCCGCTTACTGTGAAATTAGAGGCTAATGCCATGGGAATCCAACCCCTTGAGAAAGTCATTCCGTTTCAGTGCTTCCTCAGGACAAGGAAGGTGGTTTGGATCAGTTTTATCTCCCTCTTACATGCCGCTCTGAACACTAAGGCTGGCATCAGCAGTGTCTTCATTCTTATTTGTATTCAATGGTGCCCATCCACATCTAACTGGCATAGGATACTTATTACAGTCCAGAACTGCACAACAATGTATTGGTCAGCGATTGACTAGATTTACAAAGGTGGCCAGTGGTAGCAGCCGTTTACATCTTGTGTTTATCGAAACTCTTGTTTGCATTGTTTTTTTTCTGTGCTAATTTAATCTTAAGTTGCCTCGCTCACTAGGGCCTTACAAATCCATTGCTAATATTGCCAGTAAAAGACTACATGAAGCACCTGGCCTAGAAAGCAAATTCAAAGTGATTAAGGACTACAGACGTAGAAAGACAGTGGTCATTGCTACTTCGTCAGGTGCCATTGCACCATGGGTGTGAGATTTAAGAATAAAATAAAAGGAAGCCATTGAAAGATCTGTTTTACTAAAGCAATGGGGTTCACAGAAATGTAAAGAGGGTCTATCTTAGATATGGAGGAGCATCCAGAGATTGGGATGGAAGGCCAAACATGCATTTATCCTGTCACTATGGCAGTCATGGTCAAAACAAGAAGCTTGTTTTCAGTGTTGCAATAAAAGCCTGGACTCAATGCAGATTTGAGTTTACTCTCGTTTCCGTGTGGCTTCCAAGATTGGAAGGACTTTGCCGGGTGAGCAGAGTCTGGAGGCCAATGTCAAGGCATTTTGGAAGGAGTTTTGGAAATGGTAGATCCTCCATGTAAAGGAATGAATCTTCAGTGCCATCCAGATCTATGTAATGTCCCCTGTGATGTTCACACAGTGGCCCAGTGTTCCCTATGACATGTTCCTCAGAGCATGTCCCATTGCTAAGTGTCCATGACTGGATACCAAGCAAAATGCTTAACTTTTTTTTGACCCTGACACCTTTTCCCTGTGCCCTGTCTCTCAGTTTCTGTCACACAATAGTGGGAAGAGACAGGCTTTTTAGACTTCTAGATTGAATGAAAAATGTAAACTGCTCTCATGTAAAGGTCTAGGGGCCACCTTATTTCCTATGTAACACCATTTACTATCATGAAGAATTGATACCATCCTAGTTTGTCTCAAAGGAAGGTACAGAATGACTCCCTTAGACTCTTGATGCCATAGATGTATATATTCAACAGAAAGTTCAGAAACAATGTGGGAGAAAATTCCCGATTTGTCAACTTGCTTTCTATCCACTTGATAATTTATTTAACAAATGTTTGCTAAGCATCTCCACAGTATCAGGTCCAGCTCCAAGCACCAAGAATACAGCAAAATATGGCCTTTTATTTTTAGTACTTCCACTACTTAGTGGAAGTAACAATTACTTATTTGTTTTGTTCAAATTTGCTTAATAGAGAAAAAAAGGCATTTTAAAAATTTACATGAATTGATTGATTGTGTGTGTGTGTGTGTGTGTGTGTGTGTGTATGTGTCTGTGTGTGTGTGTGTGTGTGTGTGTGTGTGTGTGTGTGTGTGTGTGTGTGTTTATGTACCTGTGTATATAGAAGCCATTCCAAAGTCCCACCCTTATGGAGGTCAGAAGAAAACCAGTGGTAGTCAGTTCTCTCCCACCGTATGGCTCCTAGGGGTCAGACTTAGCTTGTCAGGCTTAGTTCTAATCACCTTTAGTTGATGAATCACCTCACTGGCCCTGTCTGGCTATCTTATTTTTGGTAGACTCTTACTCTGTATCCATTATGGCAATTCACAATGGATCCTGGGCTAGCCTTGAACTCACAGCCGTTCTCTTGCCTCAGCCTCCCAAGCGCTGGGATTGCAGGCATGAACTGCCATTCCTAGATGAAAAAGACATTTGAAGACTAACGAAGAATTCTTTGACTGAACTTTCTGAATTATTTCACGTATATCTGCTGCTGCATATACACAACAAACTATTAAATTTTCCCAGCCAGTAGCTCATTTTTTCCATTAACTATTTTCTCTAATGGATTAACCATAGCAGGCTTCTATGAAATGTCAGTCTCTTCTCATTTTGTTATTGTTGCTACATTCATTATCATTATTTATGTTTAATTACTCCAGGGACATAAAATGTAAAGTATTTTGTTTCTAAATGAATCTATAAATTCTATAACAAACTCTAAACAGAAATGAATTTTGTTTGAGGAATACATTTGCTATTCAAGGGAAGA